GTAAATGTAATATAAAAAGCCAACAATGAAGAATGAATGTAAGATTAAAAGCCAACAATGAAGAGTGAATGCAATATAAAAAGCCAACAATGAAGAATGAATGTAAGATATAAAGCCAACAATGAAGAGTGAATGTAAGATAAAAAGCCAACAATGAATAGTAAATGTAATATAAAAAGCCAACCTTGAAGAATAATGTAAGATAAAAGGCCAACAATGAAGAGTAAATATAATATAAAAAGCCAACAATGAAGAGTGAATGTAAGATAAAAAGCCAACAATGAAGAGTAAATGTAATATAAAAAGCCAACAGAGTGAATGTAGGATAAAAAGCCAACAATGAAGAGTAAATATAATATAAAAAGCCAACAATGAAGAGTAAATTCTATATATATAAAAATGAATGTTTGTCTGTTTGTATGTTTGTTTGTATGTCCGGTATACAAATTCGCAGTAGTTCACAAATTCAAACCAAAATTTCCCTACATAGGTAAAAAATACGGGGAAGACGATAGGCTATTTAAAAATATATATAAATCAATTATTAAAACTATATATTTTTAGTCATAAAATGATGATGACGATATTGCTGTATCATGTTTGATTATCAGATACAAAATTATATCGGGAAAAATTCCAAAAAGCAGAGACCACGGGTGAAACCAGTTCATTATTTTGTACGCAGGAACAAAATTCTAACAGAAAAACATTCATTCGAGCAGAAAACAAAAGCCAGATCATCTTTCTATAAAAATATCGCTTCTCAGACACAAAGTTTGCAGCGGGACGTTTCACAAGTGTGACATCCACGGCGCCAATTTATAATTGTAACAAATAGTATTTGAATAAAAACATTTAATTGGGTAAAACCCGGGCGTTGCCCGGGTCATTCGTCATTAATATATAGTCACGACCGTCTTTCCTCAATTCCTCATCGCTGTCACGGATGCGCGCGCATCATCATTATGATCATTATCTTCTATAGAAGCTTCTATCTTTATAATTATGTATATTTACAAAAAGTCAATTCGCTCGCGCCTCTAGCGGTGAAAATGAGGGGTAATACCAGCTGACCTAATGTACATGTAAAGTTTGGAGCGGGACGTTTCACAAGAGTGACATCCACGGCTCCAATTTATAATTGTAACAAATAGTATTGGAATAAAAACATTCAATCGGGTAAAACACGGGCGTTGCCCGGGTCATTCGTCTAGTATATTATAAGTATATACTTGTATTTTAAGAAATGTGAATTCAGGTTAGGAATACTCTATCTTCAAGAAGTATTGGTATTCCCCTGCTGTGTTAAAGATAGCTAAATAGGCATAGTTAATTGAATAAAGATATAAGTTCGACTCATCTTTATTTACCTTCATGTATATTGGAGAACAAGTAAGATACATCAATGCTTATTGGGATAGCTAGACCGAAATATGTACGATAAGCAAAAAGTATACAGAAAACATCATCCAACAAACTAAGACAGCAGAGCAAAATGGAAAGAATCTATCTGGGTCAAATAGTTTATAATAGGGAAAGTTATACGAATTTTAATAGGTTCTGCAGACTTTTTATTATAAGTAGACAGCTTCATGCAGCTAGAGGAACTACACTACTATGCAACTTGATTTACATCAATGTAAATAATTAATAAGTTACTTTAGAATAAAACTCTTCATTGTAAATAGTTCAATTTGATCAACTTTCTCTCTCCACGATACTAATTTTTACAGATAACTTCATTAACTTCCATCATTGCTTAACATACTGTAAATAACTACCTTGTGATTTCTTCTATCTGCTTATGTTGTTGCTTATTTGTTTAATGTATATGTTTATTTAATGTTCTTTTTCTTAATTGTTTATTTTATTTTTGATAATTCTGTTACCTACTCTACTACAATTATTGTAAATAGTTTCACGCGCAATTATCCAGATCGGATATAGCGTGTCTTATTTGTAACTGGTAATGAATAAATATAAATTATTACATGTGTATTTTGCATGTAAATGTTTAACCTATTTTATGTATATAGTATCAAATATATATATAAAAATAATTTCTAGTTTCAGATAGAGTAAGATATTTAATTTTACATTTTAGAACAATAACACAGGTCTACAAAAAAACCTTCTTTTTTTTTGCCGGAGAAAACCTGATGTTGATTCTAATGTAACTTTCCATGCTGAATTCAAAAATGAAATCAGAAGTTTTCCATCACCCATAGTTCTTGTAGGATAACCATTTCTTCTATAAATTGGTATATACAGTAATAATGCAGAAAATGTTACGTAAGCAATTTTTAAGTAAACATCATTACATTAGCTAGCGCTTTACTTTTGACAAGAAGAGTTGATATGTGGAGCCAAAAGCTTTATTTTCCAAAATCTTTATTTACATCAATATGCCGAGGCGTTGCATTAATATTCCTGATATTTTCTGTTACATTTGTGGGAGATTAATTTTCAAAGTTCAAAGGCGAAACTTTACACCGCTCATCAAAAAGTGCTATTAACTTTATTTTGGCTGTAAAGTCAGTGACCAATATAAGACTTGGGCTCCTTATCATTGTTGTGAAATTTGTGCTCGACGCCTTACAGGGTAGGGTGGATTAAAGGTGAACGTCATATGCCTTTTGCGGTTCCAATTATTGGAGGGAACCTAAAGACCATTCTTCAGACTGTTATTTTTGTTTGACAAAGACTACAGGTATTACATAAAAATCAAGACATGCAGTTGAATATCTAGATTTGCCTTCTGCTATGAGACCGGTTCCTCTTAGTGATATTTTACCTGTACCACAGCCTCCTGAAAATGTTACATTTAGTGACGATGATTCAGATAGACGAGAGCAACAGTGGGATGACACAAATTTTGAAGCAGGTGCTTCATCTGAACCTCATTTGTTAACCCAAGGAAATTTGAAAGACCTCGTACGTGATTTAGATATTAAAAAAAAAAAAAAAAAAAAAACAGAGTGAACTTTTAGGCTCTAGGTTAAAAGGCTGGAATCTGCTGCATAAAGGCACAAAAGTATGCTTTTTTCGCAAGCGCCAAGATGAATTTCAAGACTTCTTTTCACAAGAAAATAATTTAGTATATTGTAATGATGTTGTTAGTCTAATGGAAGCGCTTGGTCAAGACTATGATAAAGAAGAGTGGCGTTTATTCGTTTCTTCAAACATTAGTTTGAAAGCTGTTCTTCTTCATAACGGGAATAAGTTACCATCAGTGCCAATAGCACATGCATCCAACATGAAAGAGACTTACGAAAACATGAAACTTCTTTTGAAAAAGATAGAATATGAAAGATACGGTTGAAAAATATGCAGCGATTTGAAAGTCATTGCTCTCTTGCGTGGATTACAGCTAGGATATACAATATTTTGTTGTTTTCTGTGTGAGTGGGATAGCAGAGATAGGGAAAGGCATTATATTAAAAAAAGCTGGCCAAACCGTGAAATATTTACTCCAGGACATAAAAATATTGTAAATCCTCCCCTGATCGATTCAGAAAATATTTACTTACCACCATTACATCTTAAACTGGGATTAATGAAGAACTTTGTCAAGGCAATGGATCGAAATGCCAGTGGATTTGCCTAACTAAAACAAAAATGTTCTAGCATAAGTGATGAGAAAATTAAAAAGGGCATTTTCGTTGGACCTCAGATTCGAGAATTGCTGCAGGATGGAAATTTTCAAAATAGTTTGAATGAAGTTGAAAATAAAACTACAACCTTTCGCAATAAGAATAAAAGAAACTTATTGCGAAAGGTTGTAGTTTTATTTTAAAATTTGTAGCGCAATTTTTTCGTTTACTTCAATGAAGTTGAAGCAGCAGCATGGAATTCCTTTAGAAACGTTTGCAATAACTTTTAGGAAGTGTCAAGGTTGAAAATTACCGAGACATAGTTAATGATCTGTTGCTTTCCTACAAGGCACTGGGATGTAACATGTCTCTCAATATCCATTTCCTGCTTTCACATCTGGATTTCTTTCAAGTCAATCTTGGTGCAGTTAGCGATGAGCATGGTGAGAGGTTGCGGTACCATGGTAAATGGAATCACGGTATGCTTGCTGACTACTGCTGGACACTCAAGAGGGATGTACCACAAGCAAAGTATAGAAGAAAATCTACGTCACTACTTTTCAATAAAATAAATATATTTCGTTCATATAGGCCTATATATTAAAAACATTCCCAAATTTCAAGTAGGTGTATCTCAGATATCTTGCGTGATAGAAAAAAAAAACTAATGGTATATTTGGAATCAGCACATAGAGTTAAATTTAGATAAGATTCTGTTTCTTTTGGAACAAAGAAAAATAATTTTTGATAAACCAGTGTAATGTAATAAGGTTTATGAAAGAATGCTTACGTAATAATTTTTGCATTTTTTGCTGTATTTATCCCAATACGAAAAAAAGACTGTCACGCAAAAACCATGGGTGATGGAAAATTTCTGATTAGAATTTTGAGTTCAGCATGAAAAGTTACACTAGAAACACCATCAGGTTCTCTTGGGCAAAATTATTGTTGACCAGTATAATTATACAAGAAATGAAGTTATTTTTTTTAATTTACACACATATTATCAAAAATGTTTAATATATTGTTAGAATTAACCACTAAATATTTTAATAGTATAAATATAAATTGTTTTAAAAAAACTATAATAATTTTGTCTAATTTTAGCAAACCATTATTGATAATTTATAATTGTACGTAATAATGTTTTTTTTCTTCTTTTAATTAGTAATTTTTTATTTGACATATCGGACGCGATAATCAGCTTGGGATACTTGCACCTAAATACATTTTAGTAAAAAAATTATATACAATTCATAGAACGACATTTGAAAATTATCCCGCATGTGTTTTTTTAACAAAAAATCGAAATTTATTTCAAGGGGAAATAAAGATTATTTCTAACCTTAGGGATGAAGTATGAAAGGAGATGAATTGTGAAGAGTAATGATAAACGGAAAAAAAAAGTGTCCAGGGATAGGAATCGAACCCACATTGTTCCGCTTACCGGGCAGATGCCATGTCCACTAGGCTACTACTCTATTACTTTTCTCAATTCATACTTCATCCCTAAGGTTAGAAATAATCTTTATTTTCTCCGTAATAGAAATTTCGATTTTTCGTTCAAAAGGGATCATTTTCAAATGTCGTTCTATAATCATAAGCCGCAATATATTGGATTATATACAATTCACTTTATATAGAATTCAATAAACAAAAAAAAAAAAGACTAAAAACAAAGTTGAAACTGAAAGGATGATTTTCTCAAACAGAAAATAAAATATAAAATGAATTTACAAAAATTATTGAATTTTAAATATGTGTCTTTGTTATATACAAACTAGCCGAATGACCCGGGCAACGCCCGTGTTTTACCCGATTGAATGTTTTTATTCAAATACTATTTGTTACAATTATAAATTGGCGCCTTAAATAAATGCATATATTAGTTAATAACTATAGCCTATGTGCTTTATCTGTCTATGTACTGTTGGCTTCCGTATGCGTCTCTTACTGGGAAAAAGAAAGAGAGGATTCCATTTAGTTATTAACTAATATATGCATTTATTTAAGGAGCGACCCGCTCCAACACAATAGTTACAAAAACTAAAAAGCGAGTGGGGGGGGGGGGCGCAAAGTCAAAAACAAAGGTGTCTCGCGTAGTGGCGGCGCCATCGTAGCGAACCAATAGGAGAGCGCCATTCCAAAAAAAAAAAAAAAAAAGCAAACGGTGACAGAGATTAAGAACGCATGATGCTCGTAACTGTATATAGAATTCACAAATTTCTTCAATGGGATAAAAATGATTATTTCTGTAGTTATGAAAGAATGGACATTCTATCAATAAATGTATTGAGTTTTGGTTTTATTTTTCACACAGAAGCAACTAAGTATAATAATATTACAATACAATATAATGTGACTTATAATTGTATAACGAAATTTGATAATTATCCCGCAAATGTTTCTTTTGAAAGAAAAATCGAAATTTATTTTAAGGAGAAATAACGATTATTTCTAACCTTAGGGATGAAGTATGATAGGATGAATTGTAAAGAAAAATGATAAACGGAAAAATATTAATAAACTTAAATGGTAATTTAAAAGTGCTAAATATGAATTAATGGTATTTATTGTGTATGAAAATGAATTTTATGATAGGAGTATTGGGTTAAAAAGCGACTTCGTCCAAAGTTACTTTCCCAAACTTTTAAGATCATTTCTATCTCTGTTTACTTTAGCAAGTTTCTTTTTTCTTGTTTTTTTTTTCTTTCGCCACATTTTCTAGAGTTGTTGACCCTCCCTTCGTCATCCAGAAAACTTGTTACCTCTTTTTCTGGTAGAATTTCACTTTGTTATTTATCAATTTCTTCCCCCGAGTGTTTAATATTGGACTTTGTGAAGTTGGAAAATCAATTTCGAAGTTTATTGCTAGAAGATCTCATCACTATATAGTGTCTATAACACTTATATTGACTTTAAATACAAGAGTGTATCTCTAATATTACTAAGTTTATATAATAAAGGTTATAATTTTCGAATTAATTTGTGTCTCAGTTATATTTTCAATATGAAATACAGTAGAACCTTATAAGAGGACACTCTCGTTAAAGGATACCTTTCTATAAAAGACCGTTTTCATTTGAAAAATTACCATTTTTACTATTTAGCAACTTTCTGTTAAGAGAACACCTCTCCCTAAAAGACACTTTGGCTCTGCAATTAGGTGTTGTCCTTTACAGAGAGGTAGTTCTACTGTAGTAACTCTCTGGTAAGAGGACACCTCTCCTTAAAGGACACTTTGGCTCTGTAATTAGGTGTTGTCCTTTAGAGGGAGGTAGTTCTACTGTAGCAACTCTCTGGTAAGAGGACACCTCTCCCTAAAGGTCACTTTGACTCTTTAACTAGGTGTTGTCCTTTACAGGGAGGTAGTTCTACTGTAGCTCTCTGGTAAGAGGAAACCTCTCCCTAAAGGTCACTTTGGCTCTGTAACTAGGTGTTGTCCTTTACAGAGAGATAGTTCTACTGTAGCACCTCTCTGGGAAGAGGACACATCTCCCTAAAGGACACTTTGGCTCTGTAATTAGGTGTTGTCCTTTACAGAGAGGTAGTTCTACTGTAGCAACTCTCTGGTAAGAGGACACCACTCCCTAAAGGATACTTTGGCTATGCAATTAGGTGTTGTCCTTTACAGAGAGGTAGTTCTACTGTAGCAACTCTCTGGTAAGAGGACACTTCTCTCTAAAGGACACTTTGACTCTGTAACTAGGTGTTGTCCTTTACAGAGAGGTAGTTCTACTGTAGCAACTATCTGGTAAGAGGACACCTCTCCCTAAAGGACACTTTGTCTCTGTAACTAGGTGTTGTCCTTTACAGGGAGCTTCTACTGTTTATAAATAGATATACACAATTATATTCACCTCTCGTGTATATTTGTGAAATAGAGTAATTTCTTGAAAGCTTAAAAAAGTTAAAAGAAAATAATTATCTGTTAAAATAACTTGCAATTCTTTGGTTTCACCAGATTCATTCGATATTAAATTCTTACCTTAAAAGCTCCAATAGCAATAGAATCATTAGTGATGAATTGGTATATTACAAAATTAGATCATTTGTAGGTCATAAAAGTAATTCTACCTTAAAATATGAAAAAGCTTTTCAATAATTTAATATGAGCTCTACTCATTCCCGGCAGACACCATCAACAAGCTTTACAAGCTTGATATCCTGATTTGATTGTTAAGTGGTGAATCGAACTGGCTTTGGCCTCCTGGCACTAAGGAGGAATCACTGCCAAGTTCTTATTTTAACGCTGGTTTTAATTATAAGCTTCTTAACTCAGCGAGCTAACTATAACTCATTTAAACTTGAATAACTGCTTTTGTCTCGTCTCACTAACTCTCATGACTCAACCTCGTCTCACTAACTCTCATGACTCAACCTCGTCTCACTAACTCTAATGACTCAACCACGTATACTTTAATAACTCTCTAACTCTAATGACTCAACCTCGTCTCACTAACTCTCATGACTCAACCTCGTCTCACTTAATAACTCTCTTTATTTTCTAAAATCAAGATTATATACATTTCTAAAATTTACATAATTTAACATTAATTAACAAAAGTAAATTCTAACAATTTTACATATTTAAGGCTGGAACATACTCCCCCCGGCCGCTGAACCCTGGTTCAGATTTGAAGGGAAGCGGAGCCAACTTCGTAATAGGTCGTAGGTAGACTCCGGTAGCAGCCCGAACTTGGGCAACTCGCACCTTCTGGTCTTGAAGAACGACAAATACTTCTCTGCAGTCTCGTGTTCTTTATCAGCTGGTCCCAATATGAACACCAGGTCCAAAGCTACAGCAGTGTATTGACTATCTCTGTATTTGACATAGGTTGGTAGTTCAGTCCATTGTTTAGACTTCAGGTTCAACTTCCATAAATATTTCGACTCCTTCCCGGCGTGAACAAATACAGCTCTTACCCAATCCTGCACAATAGTAAAGTGATTGATATTTTTTGGATAGCCCTCTTTCTCACCAAGAATCGGAATAGTTGTATAACACCCCCAGGAATCTGTTTGAAGTCGGTAGTTATACAGATTACAGAAGTGTTGTTCCCACTGCATTCGAGGGAATAGTAAAAGTTTCTTGTTGGTATAGCAAATCTGAAGAGAGAGAAACTTCTCTTTCCAAAATATTTTGTCTGATCCAATCAGATGCCAATCTTTGTTTAGGAGATGATAGGAGAAAACCTTGTAAGTAGAGTGGTCGCGGGTCTCTGCAAGCATAAACAAGAACGCCGATGGTGCAAATGTCATTGCCAGGACCAAGAGGTCAGTTAGGGGCGACTTCCTGCTTTTCACTAGAACAGAAGCCCGACCCCCTTTAAGTTTCACTCGGACAATATTGTCGGTGCAAGTTACCTTATTCCCTCTAGAGTGTATTCTCCCTCCTACAAAGTACACCCTTTTATCGTGAGAGGCATAAACGATAGACTTGGAAATAACTATTGGAGCGAAACCATTCACTTTTCTCCAGATCCATTTTTTGTGAGGGATGTGGTATTGGTACAATACCGAGCGGACATTCGGGCCATCTAGAGATTCCACATCTTCTATGAGGAGGTAAAGATGAGTTCCGTCGCCGACAAAGACCTTCGGGTAGCTACATTGGATGGCTTTGGTAACTTCTGGCCACTCTCCATTTTCCTTCAATATGGCGCGGTGGTAGACTGGTAGCCCTTCTAAATCCTCGACTTCTTTGACCGCGGTCTGCCTCTGGAGATTCGCCATTGCCACTGTAGTAGGTGAGAGGAAACCAATTGGATCGAAAATCCTCGCAATATTGGAGAGAAGATCTCTTTTGGTAACAACTTCCTCAGGAAGAGTTATATTAACTCTAAACGTATCTTGTACATGATCCCATACAATTCCTAAAATCTTGGATATGGCTCCTTTCTCCAAGTTAATTTTCCTCTCTTCGTTTATTTCCTCGACATGAGACACTATCTCGTGGCAATTTGAATTCCACTTTCTTAAGTGAAACCCTCCCTTTTTCATTAAGTCCTTTAATTGGTCTATTAGTTCTTTGGTTTCAGCAATCGTTTGAGCTCCTGTTAGCAGATCATCGACATAGAAATCATTCAAGGTCACCCTAGAAGCCTCAGGATAATTTTGGCCTTCATCTTCTGCTAACTGTTGTAATGTTCTCATTGCCAAAAATGGAGCCGAAGTTGTACCATAGGTAACAGTCAGCAGTCGATAGTCCACCACAGGCTCTTCTGGCGATGGTCTCCACAATATCCTCTGATAGTCCGCATCTACTGGATGATGAGACATGTAATAGCACCTGCACAATTCTCGCTTCACTTCTGCAATTGGGACCCTTTCCATGTGGTTTAAGTGTTCATATTCCTTCATGAATCCCCGGTATTGGTCATATAATTTCACATTCTTACACAATTTTCCTTCCAACGAAAGGAACTTTCTTAAAGCTTTTTCTCTTGATTCACCCAGAAGCGGTCGATGTTGTCTG